TGGTTGTGATATTGTACGATAGTTTTGAACGGTGTTACCATTGGGGGAAACTAGGTAAAAGGTATTATGTCTTATACCTGCATGTGAATATATCTCAAATTAGTTTGCTTAATTATCTTAAAGTAAAAAGTTTAATTAAAAAATAACAAATGTAATTTAAAAAAATTCAAGTGATACAAAATGGTCTTTAATGAAAAATGAGCCTTCCATCTCTTCCTGTGTTGCCTCCCTTATGGCAAGCCACTAGTTACCACTAACTAGTTACTAACCACATTATTTTTCACAATGGTGTAGACTCTTAAGTGAATTGCTCTGAATTTTTCAGAACTGGATGTTGCATAAGCAACATGGACAAAATGAAGGCTCTCACCCTGTCTGATTATCCTTGTCATGGCAGTTTGTCCCTGTCTCCCACACAGAATCTGTAAGGCTGGGTCTCATCTCTCAGTTCCCTGAGAGAGACACGGTGGGTGATGGCTTGTGCCAGGGTCTGGTCCTGCTTGTAATGTGCTGTGTAAACCTGTGACAGGAATCGAGCCCACTGGAAACATGGTGAAGCAGCCGGCCAAGTTCACTGTGGACACAATCAGTGCTGGGCAAGGAGATGTGATGGTGTTTGTTGAGGACCCAGAAGGGAACAAAGAGGAGGTATGTTGGAGGACACCGCCTCTCCTGTCTAGCATCCCTGGAGCANATTGCTCTGAATTTTTCAGAACTGGATGTTGCTTAAGCAACATGGACAAAATGAAGGCTCTCACCCTGTCTGATTATCCTTGTCATGGCAGTTTGTCCCTGTCTCCCACACAGAATCTGTAAGGCTGGGTCTCATCTCTCAGTTCCCTGAGAGAGACACGGTGGGTGATGGCTTGTGCCAGGGTCTGGTCCTGCTTGTAATGTGCTGTGTAAACCTGTGACAGGAATCGAGCCCACTGGAAACATGGTGAAGCAGCCGGCCAAGTTCACTGTGGACACAATCAGTGCTGGGCAAGGAGATGTGATGGTGTTTGTTGAGGACCCAGAAGGGAACAAAGAGGAGGTATGTTGGAGGACACCGCCTCTCCTGTCCAGCATCCCTGGAGCATCTGGGGCTTAGAACAGGACTAGGGACTGTGTCCCCAGTTTCCTCATTATAGCTCACAACCAAAACTTTATTTTACCAAAAGGATGCTGAGGCTTATCACAGTTAAAGTAACCTGTCCAAGGGTAGCGCCTTGAAATATGTTATAAATTGATTCCCTAAGACACAATGTTGAATAGAATTAAGAGGATCTTGGACATAGCAAAGGCTTTGTTGAGGTTTTGGTATCGATGGCCAGAATTACCAGGTGATTCTTGCCCTACTCTCTCCCACACTGCCAAGCTGTCCATTCTTTGGTTCCTCCCCCAGGGCCTTTGCACATGTTGTTCTCTGTTCACTTATTTTCTTAGATCCATATTTTATTCCTAGCATTTAGCACAATCTGAAATTCTAAGTTTATCGATGTATTGTCTGCTTTCCCCTATGAGGCGCAGGGATTGTGCTAAACTTGCTCATTTTATTTTTGTGACCTCATGCTGGGCCTGGCATTTCATGAGCTCTCAATAACTGCTGAGCCAGTAAAGGTTTTAGTTACTTGTTTCATATTCTGTCATCTAGAGGTCCATCTTTGTGACAGTGGAGAGTCCTGACTTTTGTGCTGTGTGGTTTTGTTTCTGTGACTTTCGGCTGCTTCTCTCCTGGGGCACTCTGCAGGAGCAGCAGGACAGTAAATAGCCAGCGCCTTCAGGGTTCCTGACCAGGCTGCTTGCTGCAGGACCTTCGCTGACACAGTGTGCTCTTTACTCACACCTGGTGCCTTCTCTAACAGTCATTCATTTTCCCTGCTAGGCACATGTGACCCCTGACAGCGACAAGAACAAGACATACTCTGTGGAGTATCTGCCCAAGGTCACCGGGCTGCACAAAGTAAGATGAAGCTTCGTGGCCATGGCGTGGGCTGCTCTTTGGGCTCATTCCCATATGTGTAGATGAAAGATACCTTAGAGTGGAGAAATGATGGGGACTGACCCCTAGGCCCTTTGCCTTTGCAACATTTTGAGGTTTTTTTTTAAATTTTGGTGGTTGGCCAGTATGGGGATCTGAACCCTTGACCTTTATATTATTAGTACCATACTCTACCGAGTGAATTAACCCTCCAGCCCCATTTTGAGTTTTGTTTGAGATGGTGTCCAGATGTCCTGAAGGGCAGGGGTAAGATAACCTCTCTTGCAAGAGAGTGGGGTGACATGGGTGTGCCCTTCATTGGAAGAAAGCCCTCAACAGAACATCAAGGCCAATCAGTTCTCGTGTACCATGCCCAAACTTTGAGACATAGACTGTACTCACCATCTTAGGCTTTAGCGAATTCACCTGGAACCATGGACTTAGATTTCTCTTATAGCATCATGATTTTGGAAAAAAGAAATATGAAGGGATCATTTGTGATGAAATTAATTCATTCCAGTCAAGTACAGGTTCATGTGAAACCCAGCATAATACCCTTGAAAAATTTCAAACATGAGAGCTATGACTCAAATTTTATGTGGGAATCATTGTACTTTGTCTCCAATTCACATATATAAGAGTGATTTTGGTCCTTTGAAAAACACTTTTACACGGTTTGAAATCTTGGAACTGCACATTATATTTTGGGGGATGGTGGCTCCTTCTGCATCCCCGTTAAAGGTCCCAGTGTTTAGAGATTTAAATATAAGTGTTTGTTCATCTCCTACTAGAGAGGCTAAGCACATCTGATATAAGCATTTTTAGTTTGCTAACAGGTGTGGTCCCAGACCCATTCATAAGACTGATAGGGCCAGGTGGGAATCCCATTCAGGCACTTCCCTTGGTTCCAGGGTTCCTGGTTCCAGCCACCTTTGTGTGTGCAATCTTGAAGGGGGTGGAAAAGAAGACCGTTAGTACTTGTGACTTGTTGGTGGTCTTACTGGGCACAGAGAAGCAATTATATCTCATGTATGTTTCACCTATAGGTCACAGTCCTCTTTGCAGGACAGCACATCTCTAAGAGCCCATTTGAAGTGAATGTTGACAAGGCCCAGGGAGACGCCAGTAAAGTCACTGCGAAAGGCCCAGGGCTGGAAGCTGCAGGGAACATTGCCAATAAGCCCACCTACTTTGACATCTACACTGCAGGTAATGTGCCTGTCCTGCATGGATCTTTGGGTTTTCTTCCAAAGCCTGAAATATAATCCTCAGGAAATGAAGCCTGGGATGCCTAGCCTTTTGTCTTTTAAACTGAACAAACAAAAAAATTTTTTTCAAATGTGTTAGTTATATTTTTAGATTTTTCCAAACGAGCTTTTCTTCTCTTTGGGTTTTCTTCCAAAGCCTGAAATATAATCCTCAGGAAATGAAGCCTGGGATGCCTAGCCTTTTGTCTTTTAAACTGAACAAACAAAAAAAATTTTTTTCAAATGTGTTAGTTATATTTTTAGATTTTTCCAAACGAGCTTTTCTTCTCAAAAATCTTATACTCATGCTTGACTTTGATTAATAATTTCTGTGCACATTTATGACTTGACTAAATGTTCCAAAGAAACTAAGTTTTAAGAATCATCCACTAGAACAAGTTCTATTGCAAGATCCTTTGGGGGAAAAAAAGGACTGAGTAAGACCTACTTGTTGAATTGTCAGCTTTCTTTTCAATGTAGAAAATTTAGAATTTAGAAAATGTGAAAAAAAAGTTCAGTCATAACCTCTAGCACCCCAAGAAGACAGTTGTTTGGACCTTCTTGAGTGCCTCTCTCTCTCCTGTTTGCATTTTGCACTGTTAACAGTAAGCTTTCTGAGAGGGTGATGACTTGGGCTCATGGGATACTCTGTCTCATAGGAGCTGGTGTGGGTGACATTGGTGTTGAGGTGGAAGATCCCCAGGGGAAGAGCACCGTGGAATTGCTTGTTGAAGACAAAGGAAACCAGGTGTATCGATGTGTGTATAAACCAGTACAGCCTGGCCCCCACGTGGTCAGGGTCTCCTTTGCTGGGGACACCATTCCCAAGAGTCCCTTTGTTGTGCAGGTTGGGGAAGGTGAGTCATGGGGTGGCCGACTTCATCTGCTTCTGGTGTGGTGGCTGACTGTGCCAGGAAAATGGTTGGGGACCTACACTGAGCTCGTACCTATCCCCTTTCTGCCAGGGCCACTTCAGCGGGAAGTGGCTTACTTTGTCCCTAGATAGTAATACTAATATCTTCTATGAGCCATGCTGAGACCTAAGTGCTTTACTTGTGTTAACTCATTCAATCTCCCCCAAAACATGCATATAGGAGAGTTACTGAGAGATGCAGGACTGGGCAGTTGTAGGGGTTGGAGTCTATGATTGAGGTTAGCAGCAGCATCAGATGCCTTCCAGTTTCCATTGGCCTTTACTCGCTGCTGGGCAATAACACTAATCATAACACCAGCCTGTGTGTTGCAGGTACTACTAGTATCCCCAGTTTTCAGGTGGAGACGCTGAGGCTTACATAACATTAGGTATCAGTACTATGAGGTCTCAGCAGGAGTAGAACTATGGTCTCTGTTGACCCTGCCCTTAACCACTCTGCTAAACTCTCTCTGAAGCCAGAAGCATGCATTTTTCTCTAATGTTAGACCTCTGTCTTTCTGACTTGGTTGCCCTTTTTTTTATTTGTTTGTTTTCCAACTGTGCTGGCTTTTCTAACCAATACTTGCCTTTCCCTGTTCTGTCCTCTGCATCTGCATCTGCAGACTTGGCTTCCTCTTCTGAATCCTGCCTCTGAGTCAGCCTGGATCCTGAAGCTGTTGGCTTCCTAGTTGAGAGCACTGGGCCAAAGGCCTCTTGCTTGGTAAGGGCTGGTTGGGTGGGACTTCTTTGCCAGTTCTTTGTGCAGACTGAATGTCAGCTGAGCCTGTGCTGTTTGTGACTTCAGGAAATTCATGTGCAGGTGTTATTACAACTTGTCCAGCCAGACCCAAACCCACTCTCTAATTGCATTTAAACATATTTAAGACTTCGCAAGATGGCAGAGAACCTGCCAATTTCCTTCAAATTCTTTAGCTCTATTTAGTGTTTATATGAACTGAGCAGTTACCCTTTTGATGTTGAGATTATTGCACATGCTCAGAATTTCCATGAGTGTGTGTGTGTTTTAAGACACATTTAAACCTGCCGAGGAAATCCTGTCATCCTGTTGTGACTTATTTCTGGTATGACCAACTTTTCTCCCCTTGACAAAGAAAAACAAACAAGAAAACCCCTGACATAATCATAAGTAAAACTCTTTTTGACATAAGGCAAGAAAGAATTCTGGACAGCTTTCCTATGCTACTAATGTTTCTCAACCTCTCACTCATGGACCACCCCCTTCATTTCTGGCATATCCATCTCATCCATCACTTCTGCTACTTAGTATTTAATTAATAGACCTTTTCTTTTGATTTACTACCCCCCCTTAAATGATTTAATATTAAAAGAAACTTTATATCATTTTCACAATGGAAAACCAATGTCACTTGCCATACAATGCCACCACAAACTTATTTCATCCATGAACCATCTAAAATCATCTCTAATGCCAAGGCTGTGTGTGTGACTCTTTGGGAAGCAGTTGTTTGCCAAATCACTAGCCTAGGACATCACACGGAAGAGGAGCCAGGAGAGTAATTACTTTACTTTTGTGGAGTAGAGTCTTCTCTTCTGGAGTCTGTGACCCTGTGTGTATAGAGAGCTGTCAAATAGGTAGTGTCAGATTTGGGAAGGAATAGCCACTAATAAACAACATGGCATTTTACCCATTGGTCTCTTACTTCTACTTAATGAGAAGGTTGCCCAGGCTGGGCAAAGAATTCCTAAGGCACAAAGGTATCTTTTTATCAATCTTCCAGCTAACTGCATGGAACAGTAGTGTTGTG